GTTGGTTGTGGAATGCAACCAGCAGCTTCCCTGTGTTTCTTGGACACAGTGGCACTTGACATGGACTGCTGGAGATCAGGGGACCAAAGGGGACAGGCTCTTCTGCTCAGGAGAGGTTTGATGGCTGGAGGGACACATGGAGAGTGAAGTTCCCAGTGTTCCTCCTGCCTTTGCCATATTCCTGTGCTCTGTGGCAGGATGTGGCTCCCCAGATGTGTTTTCCTCTGGGTACATGCAAAGCTGTTGTACAAATCTCTCCCACTGTCATCACATCAGCATCAGTGTAATTACCTAATTTTATGCTACTAAATCTCTGTGCTTTGTGGAGCTCAGTACCTTCAGGGTGGCACTGTTGAAAATCAGTCCACATCCCAGTCTCAGAACAAACACTGTTAGTTATTTCATGCTTCGAAAAGCAACAAACACCCATTATTTAGAGCTGGTGAGAAATCAGGGTTTCCACCATGTGGAAAACTTCCAGTATTGTGAAATTTATGCTTGTTCCAAAATAGGATCAGAAAGTCAATTTCTTGAAATACTTTGTGGAACAGAAATTTCTAAAATATTGATCGAGAAACATCAAAATGAGCTTGCTGAATATCAGGGAGTTGATTTGGAGGAAACAATTATAATGTTATTAAACTGGCACTTTCCTGGTGTTCCTGCGGTGTGTTAGGGACATGATGATGTATTAGACCTTTAGAGCCCAAGTCAGTAGTTCCCAGGAGAGTCCCCTGCCCTGTGCCTAGAAAAAGCAGATGTGAAAAATACTGGAAGAAATCAGTGAAAGGGCAGGAGAGTCTTTGAGAAGAGCCAGTGTCTGAGCTGAGGGGGCTGCATCCTCCACATGACCATGCAGATCAGGAGGTAGAAACTCCACTGACCGTGGCTTCTAATTGTGCCCAAACTTTTTCCATTTAATCCTTGATTGAGTTTGTCTTGTTGCAAAATGCTCAGTTGAGCAGCTCTTGAGACGCTCTGGAGTTATTCCTCTCCCTGAAACTCTGGGAGCGTTGTGGCCACTGTTAATATTGAGGGATCAATAACTTGCCTTCTGACAGCCAGAAATCAAAAAGAGGAATGGGAAAACCAGATGTTTAAAAACCTGTATTTTATAAAAATGTGTTTTAGTCCATGCATCGTGTGAGAAGCTCTGATAAAAGCTGCTGTTGCCTTGCCATTTGTCCTCCTGCAGCTGTGGGAGTGCAGGTGTTGTGTGAGGAGAGCACGGGTGGTTGTGGCTCCAGGAAAAGAACGTTTAAGCCAGACACCAAAGACTTTGGGGCTCATGGAAGCTGGCACCCTTGCAGACCATAAACCTCACTGTTTTGTTTTAATCAGATTAAAACAAAGCTGTAGGACTGTCCAGCTCTCCCACCACCCAATGGCACCGTGAGGTTTGAGCCTGGTTTGGGGAGAAGCTGCTCCACTGAGGTCCTCAAGGCCACGTCTGAGGACTAAAACACCTCAGCAAATCTGAGAGCTTTTTTCCTGAAATCCAAGGTGTTTCCATCACTGCCTGGCTTTGCTGGCTGGGAACAGGTTGCATAGTCAGAGAGGCTTTGTAGTGCCTACAGAATGTCTTGGAATAGTGGAGACAACACCCAAGTGTGACTGGTGGGGCCCCACAAATTGTTCATCTCTCCAACAGGGTTTGTGAGTGGTTGCACTGATCCAGGCCTGGGACTCTGAGATGGGGAATCCCTCCTGGCATGGTGAGATCCTGCTTGTGGCATGTGCCCAGAACAGCCCCCCATACCCATCCAGTCTGTCTGGGAGGGTGCAGCTCTCCTGGCTGTGCTGGAATAAATGCTGCTGCTTCCCATCTCCATTGCAACATATTTTTACCCAAACATTGCTCATATTGTTCAGCTGATGACTACTTTTTTTGTTGTTGTTGTTGTTGTAATTTTTAAGCCAAACAACATATTTTCCCACTGCAATTTGTGCCAGCAGAAAGGAAGGAGGAGAGAATGGCTCTGGGTAGGAATTGTTTTGTGGGAGACGTGCAAACGAATAGGGGAGCCATAAGGAGAGCAAATCACTTTTCAGATAGAATATGGGGGTGGACAGGAGGGAGGTGTTTGTCAGGAATGTGTGCTGTGCGTTGCAAAGGTAGGGTGACCTTCAGCTGTGTCCTTAAAGCGCTGCCAGAGAGGGAAGATGATTTTGTGGGGGCTGGAGAGCCTCGTGATTCCCCTGCTCCTGGGGGGAGATGGAGCTCATAGCCTTGTGCCCAACTTGGGGTGGATCCCACCACCTCTGCCAGGCTGGATGGAGAATCTCTCAGCACAGTGACGAAGATGTGAGCTCAGCAGCCCGGGTGGATTTATCCTGGAAGCTGGGGAGGGGAGAGAAGGCGTTTGGCAAGCTGTGCTGGAGGGGAGGACAGTCCTGTCGCCTCTGGAATGTGTCATGTCCCATGTTCGGGCAGTGCTGGGAGGAGCTGGTGCCTGGGCACTGCTGACGTGGCTGTGCCGTGCTGGGGAGCAGCATGTGGGAGCTGTGGAGGTGCCAGGAGCTGCTGGCTGAGCCCATGTTCAGCACAGGCAGTCCAGGGGGGCTTGCAGGGTTGTGTAGGATAGAACAGTTCAGTTGGAAGTGATCTACAAGGGTCATTTAATCCAACTGCCTCACCAATTCAGGGCTGGCCTGCACTTAAAGCAAATGATTCAAGCCATTGTCTACCCCACAGTAGTGCTCCTTACCATCCTTTTCTGACCAGCTGGAGCCTCCAAGGGCTGCTGTGGGGAGGCCCAGAGGGCAGTTTGGTTTATAGTGGCCTGTCTCTCTCATGGATGTGATGAACAATCCCAGCAAGTGCTGTCTCATTCCATTATGGTGCAGTGGTCTCTTCTCTCTCCCTTTTGACACTGCTGGCAGTGCATGAAGGGCTCTCCCTTCATCCTTCACCCCTCATGCTCACACAGTTGAAGCTCTGTTGTCTTTCATTTGTCACTGAGGGTTTTTTTCTATGCTGCCCACCCATGCCAAACTCTTCTGCTGACTTCATGTCAACAAGGGTCTTTTCTCATTTCTCCTTCATTCCTTTTTTTCTTCTTTCCCCTTCCCCTCTTTTTCCTTTTTTTTTTTTTTTTTTTCCTGCTTTACTTTTCTTTCCTCCCTCCTGCTTCCCTTTCCTGTTTCCTTTCTCCAAACCCCTGAGCTCAGGGGCACAGGGAAGCCAATGATGTGCTGGCACACCTGTGCAGAGCAGTGAGCTGCACCAGCCCTTTGCTCCCAATTCCTGCAGTATTTGTAGCATTGTCCCAAACACCGGTGGCCGAGGAACCCCCCTCCCTCCCCACTCCCTCCTCTTGGTGCTTGCTCCACTGACAGGTGTGGGAGCAGCTGCCTCAGGATGGCTGTGCCAGCGTGGTGGCCACACGGGTACAGTCACCACAGTCCCATCAGGGGCCATGAGACTGCTGTGACCTCGCTGAAGGCATGGTCCCCTCCTCCTCCTCCCTCTGTGCTCTCCTCCTGGCCTCCTTTTGGTAAATAAGCCTCAGCTGTGCAAGCCACTCCAGAGCTCCCTGCTCCACCTCCACGAGTCCTGTGTCACACAGCCCCAAGGTCTGGCTAACTCTCCATCTGTTCAGGGGAGAACACACATTCTGCTGGGCAAGGGAGCAGCAGGGTTGAGCTTCCTGCTGTGAACACGGCAGCAGGAGGCTGAGCCACCCCAGTGCTGCCCCAGCATCCTTCCCTGGCACCTCAGTGGGATGTGTGCTGTGGGGATGGGAGTGGGTGCTCTTTGGAGACCTTTCTCTGCTCTGGATATATTTTTTCCTCATGATGCTGCCTGCTGGGGCATCTGACACTGCAGGATTCAGCTGTGCCTGTCATAAACGTTGGGGGCTTTGGGGAGCTCTGTCTTTGATCTGTGGTTCCTGGGGGAGCTGGTACTGGAAAATTCAAAGACATTACACAGCTGGTCCCTTAGCTCCCTCTCTTTCTGGAGCTTTCCTGAAATGGTTCCCACTGCTGGCACTTAACTCAGGCAGGGGGTTTGATCCTTGTTTCTCTGTTGCCCGATGTGGCTGGGTGGGTGCTCTCCCTCTGTCTCCCAGCACAGCAGCACTGGGTTGAGGGATCCTCCCCAGAGCCCTCCTGATCTGCTCTCTGGTTCCCCCTCTCCCAGCGGCCCCAGCAGAAATCAGAACCACCTCTGCAGCCCACAGGGGTACGAAACCACCCTGGGGAGGCTGAGGACATCACTTGTGGGTGTCACAGCACATGTCACAGTTGAGATGGCCACAATACACAGAATATGCCAATATCAGAAAGCTTCAACCCATACAAAGTAACATCATCCCTCCTCAGAAGGCTGCAAGTGTCCACTCTTTTGGTTCTTCAGCCCAGCCTTTTATCCCCCTCATGCTCATGCACTGCACCTGTGTGCCCTCTGTTCCTTTGGTGGTTGCTCAGCACACCTGGGCACTCCATGGCTCATTGCTGTCAGTGCTGCTCACCTGCTGCTCACAGCTGTGCCATGGGGATGAGGCTGGGCCAGCCCCACCCCAATCACCACAAACTGTGTGCCTACATGTGGGATTTAGGGAGAAGGAAGGGAAGCTGCTCCATGGCCTGGTGTGGCACTGGGTGCTGTAAAAGAGTGGGTTGGCTGAGCTGGAGTCAGTTGGCTACTTTGTGAGGAAGAAAGAGTTAGTACTCTGAAGAGCTGCCGATGAGAAAACACCAGGAAGGTATGAAACTTTTGTGATATGGAGGCAACAGTATGGAACTTTTGCAATATAATGCCAACAGGAAAGCAGCACGGAAAACACAGTTTCTGTAAACTCACAATTTTCTATTATGGGTGGCTTTGGTAAGATCTGAAAAGTGCTGGATGGGTCCTTGTGGGTGAAGTCAGAGGTTCTTGGCAGAGCTCCTGCCCCAGGACTCAGCTCCAGCTTACACGAGGAAACGTTTAACGGGCAGAGGGGACACGATGGCCCAGCTGTTTTGTAACCACAGCCCCTTTGCTGGTGTTGCAGCTCCCGAGGTGACGCAGGAGACGGTGGAGTCGCTGATGCAGAAGTTCAAGGAGAGCTTCCGCACCAACACGCCCATCGAGATCGGGCAGCTGCAGCCCGCGCTGCGCAGCACCTCCGTGGGCAGACGGAAACGCCGCAGCCGGCCCCGAGGTACGTGGTGATTTCTGGCTCCCCGTCACTGGAAGGAAATGAAGGAATCTGATTCCGTGTTCTTAGAAGGCTCATTTATTATTTTATGACCTATCTTATATTAAAGAATACTATACTAAATGTTACTAAACTATACTAAAGAATAGAGAAAGGATACAGATAGAAGGCTAAAAGATAATAATGAAAAACCCGTGACTCTCTCTTCCAGAGTCTGAAACAGCTGGCCTGTAATTGGCCTATAAGTAAAACCAATTCACATGCAACCAATGAAACATGCACCTGTTGGTCAACAATGTCCAAGCCACATTCCAAAGCAGCAAAACACAGGAGAAGCAAATCAGATAATATAGTTTTCCTTTTTCTCTGAGGCTTCTCAGCTTCCTAGGAGAGAAATCCTGGCAAAGGGATTTTTCCAGAAAATATAACAGTGACAGAGGTACGTGGCCACAGTGCCTTAGGATTTGAGCTGTTATGTTTTTCAAATCATGTACAGCGTTAGTGTGTAACTCTAAACTCCATATGAAGCATTAGCAACTGTCTTCACGTTTTGATCAGACAAAGAAATCCTTCTAAGCCTGAGATACAAGGACACCCTGCTGCCTCAGACCACAAAAAGTACAAACAGAAGTGAATTGGGGGTATATTGGGGGTGTATGACTTCATTACCTGAAGCTGTAATTAGAGGATTAACCCCTGATATGCAAATAGACTAAATTTATATCTGTGTGAAAAACTCGTGACCATCGTCCAGCTTGGGTGCAGCCTCTGGGAGGCTTCTGACTGCCCAAGGTGTAGCTGTTGAAGGCCTTTAATAAATACCTATCACTGAAGGGGTATTGGGGACAGCCAGGGGTGATACAGAGACTCCATCATCAGAAGGCTTGAAAAGACACTTTGTTATTAGAAATCTACAGTTCTTACAGAAACAGTGGGGGGCCTAAGACCTGATTGGCCTTTACGAATCTTCTCTCACACTATTGGTGAGCTATGAATAGCACACTCTGGAGAATCATATCTATAAACAACAGTTACAGACAGTGAGATAATAATTGTTTGAATTCTTCTAAGTTTCCCACAGCTTCTAAAATCCTGGGAGAATTATGTCTCTCTCTCTTCAGAGGATATGTAATTACTACAAGTACCTACTTTTATTGTCTTCATCTTGTCTAGCCTCTGTTCTAGGTAGCCACTGCAAGGCATGAGCCATGGCCAGAGGAGCTTGGCTGGGGAGGAAGGTGGGAGCCTCCTCACCCTCACTGCTGAGCCTGGGGACACCAGAGCTCCTCTGTGGTGGGATGAGAGAGGGACAAACCCCACACAGCATCCTCTGGGTGGGCTGGTGGAGGTGCCTGTGAGTTGTGTCACATCGTGTCCCCTCTAAGAGATCCTGCTGCAAGCCCAAAGTCCCTGTCAGCTGCCCCAGCTAAAACACAATGAAAGAATTTCTGGTCAGGTTTTAATTTCATGAAGGGGTGAAATTCATTTTGGCTGTCACTCATTATTGGGACATCTCTTCTTTCTGCTTTCCCAATGCTTGGGGGCTTTAGGAGCTACACAGAGAGTGGGAGCACAGCATTCACAGATCTAAAGGCTGTACAACACAAAAGGCTGTGCCTTTTGAGGTCCAGGTCTCCATCTCTGGAGGAGCAGGAGATATCAGATCCCTTCAGGGGTGAAGGGGATGAAGGTCCCTTGGCCAGTGCACTGAGGGTCTTTGTGTCAGCTCTGGGAGCTGGGAAGGAAATACTTTTCTTTCTTTTTACTCTTGGTTTTGTTTTTCATTTATTTATGAGTCTGAAATGTGATCTTTTATTCCTGATATGTTTTCCTGCGATACAGGCCTGGAGAGGCCTTTTTTTTATTATAGCTCTGCCCATAAATTATTTACTTAGTGTGAAGAAAATGTTCTGACTCTTTAACTGGTTTAAATTATTTGGTTTGTTTTCTAGTAGTTATTCAAATGCATTTCTCTGGATTTTCGTGTGGGTGCTCTGGGGTCCATGGGGACTGTCAGGGAAAGTTGCCCTGATTCCCTGCTCCAGCCTCTTTTTTTTTTCTTTTTTTTTTTTTTCCCTTTCTTTTATGTGTGTTTTTATTTCATTTCTGAACTGGAGGTAAGAGGCTTTTTGGTCACTAATGGAACAAGTCAGTTAATCCTTGCAGCTGAGCTTAGGACGAGACAGTGCCCAGCTGCAGGCAGAGCCTCTGGCTAAGTGTGAGCAGAGTGTGGCCCTGAGCCAGCCTGGCTTGTCCCCAGTCTCTGGAGATACCCCCACCCCATTTCCCACCTCCCCAGGGTTCCTCTGCCTATTAGTGACTGTGGGAAAGTCAGTGGTTATCAGGACAAGAGCACCCTTGGTCTCTCTCCATCTCTCCCCACTGGTTTCCTCAGTATGAGAAAATGAGCTTGCTTTGTGCCCAGAGTCTGTGAGGGGTGAAGAGCCTTTGGCAGAATGTACTCCATGGGCTTCAGGAGGGGACTGACTCCCAGTGTCTCCAGCCACAGGAATCCTTCACAAGCACACCCTAAAGAAGAGATTTTAAGCTCTCAGTGCTCAGAAATCCCCCAAAAGCCAGGTAGTCCCAATGTCTCCAGTGGAGATCTCGCTCTGCACAGCCCCATCCCATCCATCCTTTTTTCCTTTTAAATTAAATATCTTTTTCCTTGTAGAGGTGGTGGCTGGGTGCTGTTGCTGAGCTGATCCATGCCTTTCCCTGCCCATTCCCTGGCTTCTTCTGTGCTGGAGGTTTTGTTTTTACAGCCTGTGGTTACCTGTGCCTCCAGCAGGCAAGTGGCTGGAGTGCAAACAGCCCTTCAGGGTAAAGGATGAGACCACAACTCGGGATGTTTACATTTTCCATCCAGTTGCAAACATAAGCCCTTTGCCTCATTAATCCATTGCAATCCATGAGAGTTGTTTTTTCCTCCCCCTAAATGAAATTGTCCATTTGGGATACATTCATTTCCTCCTAACGGCCTCGTGACAGTTCCGCTGATGGAGTTTGCATCCAACTTTGTTTCTGAGCAGTGACAAGTCAGCCTGATGGATGCATGTGTGTAATTATTTTCTTGTGGTTTGATTTAATTAATGTTTAACCTCATCAAAGCCCTACAGTTGGAGCACTCTCCCTGCAGGAACTGCACACAGCAGAAGGATTTCCTCCTCTACGGAAAGGGTTTCCGAGTGCTACTCCTTCAGAAGGATGGGATAAACCATCCAAACCTGATCCCCAGCCCAAGGGAAACAAATCTGGGATAAACTTTGCCTTGCTTTACTTCCCAGCTCTGAGTGTGCATAAGCTGCTGCCCATTGCTCCTCATTAAATCTGATTTAGCCCTGAGTGTTTCCAGCAGCGCTGGGAAAGGTGCTGTTTTCCCAAGTAGATTGACTTTAAAAAAACCCAACAAAACAAACCACCAAACCACACCACCCTCTCTATTTACATTGCCATATAACTTTATTTTGTCTAATGACTCTTTCATACAACCTTTCTCCCTAAACACTTCTGTGGAGTGAAGCACATCCAGAGTTTATAAATAATTGAGGGAGAGAGAGGATGGAGAGAGCTGAGGGTGGGAGGGGTGGGCTGGAAGGAAGAGGTCTCTGCTGGGGGTTGGCAGACCTGGAGGGAAGGATGCTGCATTCCACAGCGTTTATTGATCCTCAAACGCAGCCCCGGAGCATCCCAGCCTGGCTGCCCCAGAGCCGGGAAGCGATGCCCTGGGGAGAGGCGGCAGGGCAGGGGCTGAGCTGTGCCTTTGGCTGAGGGACCGAGCTGTGTGCCCAGCCCCGGGCTGGGAGCTGGCCCTGGGGGTGGCTGCTGTGTGCAGAGAGGGGGTCTGGTGCCCTCTCCTGGGGCAGGGCTTTAAAAACACTCTGCATTTGGGAAGAAATAACCCGTCATGGTCCTTCTGCTGAGACACGATGTGCTGTTTGTCGGGGTGTGCTGCCTACTGGGGATGCAGTTCTTGTGGTCTGGAGGTCTTGGCTGTGCCCTGAGTTAGTCAGAGCTCCCTGAGGGAGAAGAGCTGAGGCTCAGCTGGGCTCATCCGTGGTCCTGCTTTTGCCAGGACACCTCTGCTTTCACCTTGCCCTGTCTGACTGTCCTGTGGTGCCTGTGGAGCATCACATTTTGCTGGTGAGTCTTTTCTGGAGTTCGCCTGAGTGCTTTCACCTCACCTGAATAATGATGTCATGTCCAGCTCTTTGAGTCGGTCCTTGGTGAAAAGAAAACCCTTCAGGCTGTGCAAGGGCTGCTGTCTGGGATTAGCATGATCCCAGTTTTTCACAGTGGAAGCCCATGGTGCTGTCCCCTGGCTGCTGCACCTCCTGCACTGGTGGCGTTTTGGGCGGAGACAGAAGGAAGAGGGAAGACTGGTGAGGAGGAAGAGTTTTTCTCAGCTGTATGTGAAGCCAGTGTGTGTGAACATACCCCTGCCACAGGGTGCTTTGTTTTAAAGGGCTTTTTTTCTTTACACTTTTATGGGTTTGGGGTTGACTGAGTAAGTTTCAAAAGAAATTTTTTTTACATTTTTTTTTCCTTCTCCTTAAATCTGCATCTAATGTACCTTTCTCTGACCACACTTAGGGTTTTTTGGGTTTTTTTCTTTTTTTTTTTTTTTTTTTTTGGGGGGGGGTGTGGTTTGTGGTTTTTTTTCCCGTTTTCTGGGTTTTCAGGGTTAAATTAATCTAACTGAAAATTTTCACTTAGCTAATTGTATTGTCCTGCCAGCTCTTAGTGCATGGACTTTGCTGCTATGCTGGGGAGGGTATTCCTCACCCAGTTTTTCCTGGGGAGCCTGGGAAGAGAGGGCCTTGTTGAACCCCCAGAAGGCAACATTGCATGGGGTGAGTGAGCATGGAATGGAGTGAACCCAACGTGGTCGATGAGGGAAGTTGTGGGTCTTGAATTCTGTGGTATGTGCAGGGATTTTCCCTTTTTCTGGAGGAAAAGGATGTGGAGAATCTTTTTTCCATTGATAGTGGCTGCAGGGCAGAAAGATCATAGAGATGTCACCCAAGGTGGCACCGCTGGGGACAAACTAAGTTTCCACTTCCATTATGACATCCAACTTTGCAGGATTAAGTAGCTGAGGTCAGCTTGGCCTCAGATAGGAGTTATCCAAACAGCTACTGTTACTTATTTCTTTATTTTAACTCAGTTTTGATTCCTTTTACATCTATAGCTCTTTCCCTGAGATGTTCTATGACCTCCTGGCTTCAGGGAAAGGATTAAAAATGTCATGTTTGTTCTTTATTTCCTCTTTGAAGACAAAAATCTCACTTTAAAAAATATACACGTGGCTTCAGCTAACAAAAAGTCGTTGGGGATAACTCTGGTTCCTGAATTTTATTTCCTCGTCCCCACTCTGCATTAACGGGACCGTCTTTAATTACACCATAACGAGGTGTTTGCCTTGGCACCCCGCCTTGCTCCCCACTAAATTAATGCTGCGCTCAGAACAAGCACCCTGCCCCGGCGCCTGCCTGAGCTGAGATCTATTTGAAGGGATTAACGAGCTTGTAAATCTGCAAACAGGATTAGAAACACGAGCATCTTCCTTGAGCTCCCCTTCCCCACCTGCCCCACTGCCTGCTGAGCGAGCTGGGCAGGAGATGGGTTGGGTGAGGAAGGCGAGCTTTGTTTTTTTCTCCAGTCTCAAAAGCAGGAGTAAACTGGGTGTAAAGAGGGTGTATCTCCCTGTGAGAGCTGCTGGAGAGAGTTGCCAGTGCATTACTGATACCCAGCCCTTTAAAATTGCCATTTCTCTCTCTTTTAAGCATCTTATTCCAGTTTATAACCAATTGCAGTAATTAGGATATTTTAATTTTCTGATACTGGGTGTTTTTCTCCCTGTTTTTGAAGGAAAGGGAATGCTGAGCAGGTAGGACTGCTTGGCTTTACCTGGATGCTGTCCTTGTTCATCAGTAATTGCTCGTGGGTGCCCTCTGCCATGAGCATCCTTGGCCCCATCATGATTATGCTCAGCCCCAGGCTTTGGTAAGCAGCCTGTGACCAAGGCTGGTAATGGACCTGGAAAAGGAGACATCGCCCCAGTTGTAAATGTCTCACTGGGCTAATTTGGTCAGATTTTGGGGTCAGTTAAAGATGAAATCAGGTTCATGGCAGGATTACTTGAGGATTAGTGTCCCTGTGCTCTCCAGGTTGCCTCAACTGGGTTCTGAGATCCTCAAAACCACCACTGAGATGTGGTCCAGCATCCTTGATGGCACAAGGGTGTAAAAGCACCTCCCTGGCAGCCGTGTGTGTGCCCCAGGCTCGTGCTGCCAGGCTGACCTCTGGCACTGCATGTTGGGGCAGAGGAGACGCTTCCGCTGCGGGCTGGGGACCTGCGCCGGGTCTCACCACTGCTGTATTTATACATCCTGCTCAGTGCTGGGTAATCAGAAAATGCAATATCGCTGTCACCAGCTCTCTGAAGACATCCAGCCTGAGTAATTTAACATGTCAGCTCCATCCATCACGGAGACGCAGCCGGCACACAAACGCAGAGTGGCCGGAGGGGGCTGGGCCGGTGGCTGGCAGAGCAGCTGCTGCCTGTGCCAGCTGCCTGGTCACCTCAGAGGGGTGTGACAGCACAGAGAGCACCACGTCGTGCCTCTGTCCACCCCAGCCATCTGCCTGTGCAAAAGGGGCCAGCTCTGGTGCATGGGAAGGTGACAGAGGGATGTGCCATGTCCTACCTGCACAGGCAGTGTCCAGGTCCCTCTCCCAGGCAGGGGCAATGGCTGTGCTGAGCTCTCAGCAGTGGGGGTGCTCTCCCATAGCTGGTGTCTGTCCCCAGCCCTGGCCCCTGCAGCAGCCCCTGCTCAGTGAGAAGGGGATTTGCAGCAGGGCTGCAGCCCTGGCTGGTTGCCCAAGAGCCTGAGTTAGAAGCCCAGGTTAATTAAGATTTTCCTCACTCATGCAAATAAGTCTTATTAGACTTACCACTCTGCTGTGTCTCTCAAGCCCCTTGGTGTGGGTGTATCATGTCTTTTGTGGTGTTTGTGGCTGAAGAGGGGTTGATGATGGGTCATGGTTTGGGATCTTTGAACCCCCCTGCCCAAGCACTAAATGCTTCTGTGTGCAAGCACTGACCCTTCCTGCTGCTTCCAGGAGGAAAGGAACCAGCAGAGCCCCTTCCTGCCCTGCTGCTGAGACTGCCCTGGAGGGCACTGCCCAGCCAGGTCAGGGCATGGCCAGGGCAGCAGCCACGTGCCGAGCTCCTGGCGTCCCTCTGGCTCCTGCCAGCCACCTCTCATCGCTGTGATTAAGGATTTCAGAGGGCAGAAGGCACCGCTCATTTTCTGTTCTCCTGCCAAGAAATGGGGAAATTGTGCTGCTGCCTAGAATAAAAGATTTTTTAAAAACAGTAAAATATTTTAATGGCAGTTTAAAGGGCCACTGTCAACCCCCAGAGGCCTCTTTGCTTTAAGCTCTGCAAAGATTGAAGGACTTCTGCCAATTAGAGTCTGTGGTGCTTTTTAAGTATCCATTGCTTCTTGGTGGGTCTGGGGATGGAGCCAGCTGGGCTCCTGCTGCATCCCACACCATATCTGGAGAGGAAGAGGCCGGGTGAGCCATGGGTCAGCCCTGCTCCTGCCATCCTGAATGCTGCTGTCACAGCAAACCAGGGAAGCAGATGGGCCAAACTAGGTGCTGAGGAGCAGGAAAAACACTCAGGGGTGTCCTCGGTGCCCCCTAAGGGCTGTATTCCCCTGTACTATTTGTCCTTGCTGGGTTTGCTAAAATTCACTGCATTTCATCATGCAGGTGTCCTTGGGGAGAGCAGCTGCCACACTCAGGGGTTTTCTTTGTAAGTCCCTTGAAATATATTTGTGTTTTTATTTCTGAGGGTAGAAAGTGTCTTCTTACATTCACGTCACTATGTACACTGTGGGGGTCTTGATTTTTGATGAAATGATGAGTGGTAAAAGTTCCTGATCACTACTGGTGACCCCAAGCAAAGAACCTTAGCAAGGAGTGGGGGTTGCTGGCCAAATCCTCAGCTCTGCTGAGGAGCTCCTGGCTCCACCTGCTCCTGAGCATCCCAGCTGCCAGGGCTGATTTTTTCCTCTCTGTTGCCTGCAGGTGGGATCGGGTTTGGACGTGCCAAAGGCAACTCTGGCTCAGAGGCAGATGATGAAACCCAGCTCACCTTCTACACGGAGCAGTATCGGAGCCGGAGGCGAAGCAAAGGTACGAAAGGTCGCTGTGGTTGCACGCTGGTGCCAGGGGAAAAGAAATGCTTGAGCACCTTGGCTGCCCTATGGGTGATGGTGTCTGATACTGCCCGAGTCTAAAGGACAGCCACACCACTCTGTGGTGGTAAGCACGTCCCAAAATGTGCTGTTTTTGTGATGCAGTACTATGCAGGAGCCGTAAATCCCATTTCCCAGTGATGTTGCTGAGGTTCTGGGTTTCTTTGATGGTTTCTAGTATCAGTTGCCCTCCGCATGCCCTGGCACTTCCCCAAAGCTGCACCAGTGGGGAGTGGTTGTGTCTGTCCTCATCCTGGCACTGGTGCAGCTGTCAGGGATGGTTACCCTGGCAATTCCTTGCTCCAAGCTCCTGTTTTCTGCCCTTTATTTCCCATGCAAAGCATTCATTGGATGAAAATTGCCCAGCCTTCCACTTGGCACAAAGGCAATTAAAAAGAACAAATTCAAAACGAGGGTTGGGGCAGGGATTTGTAGACCCAAGTCCCTTTAGGCTCTTTTTGTGAGTTAGAGGAGCCAAGAAACTGAAATATCATCTGGAGTTTGAAATTAGTGTCCGCATTTCCTCTTGTCACATCACGCTGGATTGGTTTTTCCGGGACTCTCAGCCCGAGCCGTTTGGTGGAGGAGAGGACAAGTTCTGCTGCTGCTACTGGGTTTGAAAAATCACTGTGGGGAAATAACTCCGTTGGGAAGCAATTTAAAAATTGCACAGTGGGTCTGCTCCCTCCATTTGTTTTGTGCGGGGAGCCGGGCCTCGGCAGAGCGCGGCAGCCAGATGGATTTCGGTGCCCACCGCAGCAGCACGAGGCCCCATTTGTTTCCATGATGAGCCATTCCCATAAATGCTTCCAGTGTGTTTATTTGAATGTGAAATTGCCTCAACACCTCTGATCAGCTCGATGGTTGTGCACAGGAATAAACTCACGCATGCACAGGGGTGTGCTGCAGTTGCTCCTGCTCAAAGGCTGTTTTTTTTTTTTTGGTTTTTTGGGTTTTTTTCTTTTTTTTTTTTTTTTTTTTTTTTTTTTTGTTTTTTGGGGTTTTTTTTGTGGTTTTTTTTGGTTTTTTTTTGGTTTTTTTTGTCTTTGTTTTCCATGTGTTTTAGAAGCAAGAGAAATCACCACCATGTTTAAAATGAGCTTTTGATGAAAAAGATGAGAGGATTCGTGAGTTCCTTTGAGTTCCTTACCTGCTGCGGTTACAAACACAGCTGCATTCAGGGGAAAATGATAAAATCAGAATCCCAGAATAGTTAGGGTTGAAAGGGACCTTAAAATCACCTTGTTCCATCCCCTGCCATGGCCAAGGACACCTTCCACTGTCTGAGGTTGCTCCAAGCCCTGTCTCATCTGACCTTGGGCACTTCCAGGGATCCAGGGGCAGCCACAGCTTCTCTGGGCAACTTGTGCTAGGGCATCCCCACTCTCATAGTCAAGACTTTTTTCCCAATAAGCTTAAGCTTAAACTTCCTTCTAACCCTGCCCTCTGCCACTTTGAAGCCATTTCCTCTTGCCCTGTCATTCCATGTCCTTCTCCAGCTCCCTTCAGGTACTGGAAGGCTGCAGTTCTTCACCCCTAAGCCTTCTCTTCTCCAGGTTGAACAATCCCAACTCTCTCAGCTTTTCCTCATGGGAAAGGTGTTCCATCCCTCTGATCATCTTCATGCCTGTGTGACAGGAGGAAGGGATTGGATATGGTGCAAACAGGGACAAAACAAGCTATCCCAAAACACTGCTGGTACAGGGATCAAATTTCTGAGGTGCTGGAGTAGCTTTTGCAGTGACTTATTCAGGAACACTGGGCAGGCTGTAACAGCCCTTGGATACTTTGGAAAAGTCACTGAAGTTTGGGGTTTTTTCAGCTTCCACTAGGGAGAGGGGTGATAGGGCACAGGGAAGGTATGGAAAACTGTGTTTTAATGAGAGGCAGACAAATCTTTGCAAGGCTGCCTTGATGCCATTCCTCTTGAGGTCAGCTGCTCTGTAAGTCTCTTGAAAAAGGCTCATACTGGATGTCGGGTACAAAGATATTTTTATTGACGTCTATGTTGGTTTTTGGTTGTTGGTTTTAGCTTCCTTGTAGGGCAAATATAAAGGAACAGATGAATGGGAAGAATTCCTTTCTTTCCCTGTGAATAAGCTGTTGTTCACCTGGGCAGCTTTGATGGCTGGGTTTGAAGGGAATTCAGGAGGCAGAGCTGCCTCGCGCCGTCGCACAGGGCTGGCTGTTAGATCTGCCTTAGTGTTTGAGCAATGCTGTGAGAACCTGGTTTGTTCATGCTCACTGGGGGCTAACTGAGGGAATTGTCTTGCATAAAGTCCCCATTGTACTTCCCCTCCTGTCTAGATAAATTTGGCCATCGCTGCATCCTTGAAAGGAATTTTCCATTATCTTTTCATTGACTCTCCTCTCCTCATGGAAGCAAAGCAATAGCGTAGTGGGAAGTCGTAGTACCGAACTCATAATTACAAGTTCAGCCAAGATCCATAATTGGACAGGATCGTAACTCTAATAGAGAAGGATGCATCGTCAGATACAGTTAATTCTTACAATGATGTTCCCCTATTGATTTTGCCAGGCTTGCGTGTCGTTGCAGGTGCCTTTGGATAGTTATCAGGTCCAAGGAGAGGGATTCCTTGGGGTTTCTCTCCTTGGATAAGATTTTGGAGGATTGAGCCTAATTACTTGCACTGTCAAGGCATTGATCCCAGATGATGCGATGGGAAGTTTCCACTTAGGAGGTGTGCAGGTTTGCTTTTATTTGAGCTTGGTTAAGTGGCCTCCTGTGTCTCCTGGAGAAGGAGGACAGCAGGTTCTCCAGTGCTTTGGCAAGGCAGATTAGACAGACATTCCCACAGGAAAATATTCAGCAAGGGAGAGTTTGTTCTGGTAGCTCAGGAGCAGCAGACCCACTGGTACCTGGTTTTCAGTGCAGGAATACACACAGAAGTAAGAGGCAGCACCTTCTGTGGGCACAGCATGCTGCACCACTCACCTTCCCAGCCTCTAGGGCTGCGGGATGCTGTTACACTGATGTTACCATGTCTTTGTAAAGTCTCCAGAGAAATTACAGGGCAGAAGAGTGTAAGGAATAAAGCAGAGGAAATCTTCCGCTGGAGTCTTGGCCTTTGCTGTTGGGCTCAGCCCCATCTCTGGGATTTGAGCTGGGAGAGGCACTGCTGGCTTATGCCAAAAAGTGCTCTGTTCACTCCCAAATCTTCAGTGAGACACCCCTTCTCTTCACCACTGTCCCCTGCCTGTGCCCACACCAGCTCCCCACTTTCCACTTCGACGGATCAGGATGAGCTGTGCTCTGTGGCATGCAATCTCAAGGGAGCTGGAATTCGGATTGCTTTTCCAAGTGAAACAAGTCCTGAGAGAGGCTGTCAGGCTGTGCACAGCTCTGTGCTCAGAGGCTGAAGTGACCCTCAGCTGGGGCCAGGAATGGCTGGTTTGCTCCTTCTTGCTGACCCTCAGCACTGATTCCTCAAGGATTTCCAGAAATCAGACTTTCTTGCAACCTATTTGCAACAGGTTTGTGCACTTCAAGGCTCTGCTTGCTGTGGGAGCTGGCTCCCCTTTCCCATTCCCCTGGGAGTACCAGGAACTGTGGGAACTTCTTTGCATTCTGGCTGTGGTGCACAGATGGCTCTTGTCTCCAGGGCTGCCGGTCATCACACCTTCCACCAGCGCCGAAGTCTCTGTGAGAGAGAAGCTGACAGTGTTGTAAGGATGTGAATCCACATCCCCCGCTGGCCAGCAGGGCTATATCAAAGCTTTGATGCTTCAGGGGAGGATGTGTTCAGTCAGGTTCACTCTGAGTTTGAGAGGAAAATATTAGTAGCAAAAATCCCCCTAAAGCAAGAAGGCAGAGCCCTGTGCACAAACTCCACTCCTGCTCCATCCCTCTCATTCTGGGGTGGGGTTTGCCCTGTGCCCAGCAAAATATATTCAGCTCCAGGTCTGACTGTGCAGCCCTGAGTTCCCCTGGTCACAGCCAGCACCTGCCTGATGATGAAATCAAATAGTGAAAGGTGGAGGGGAAGCAGCAGCACTGTAACTCCAAGGCTGTATCAGTTCTCTGCCCATCTAATTGAGGATTCTGTGAGTATAATGAGCCCCTCCTTGCTGGAGGGGAGGCACAGGTAAGGTTCCTGCACCTCCCTCTGCTTTTTCAGGCCACAGAGCAGCTGCTCTGTAACACAGAAATGTGGAACAGATGCTGTTCAGCTTCCTGGGTTGGGGGAAACTGAGGCAGGGAAAGTGATGGTGTCATATGGAGGCCCTGTGAGGGGCTGAGCCATCCCAAGCCCATTTGTCTTGGAGACCCACAGACTGTCTGCTTTCCCTTGCCCTCTAGTCTGAGCCTCTGGGAGCCCCTAGGACCTGCCAGGAGGTTCCCAGAACTGCTGCCAAACCCCTGAGTCTGGGGCTGATGTCACTCTCTATCCAGCAGAGATCAGGTACAGAGTTCCTGGAAACCCAGACACAAAGCATGGGGTGCAAAGGCAAAGGGATGCTTTTGTTCCTGTGATGGTTGAGGGCACCCAGCACAGTGTCCACCCACCTGGGGTGTCTCATGGAGTGTCCTCAGCTGGCTGCTGCTCCTCAAGCTGTCTCTGGTATCTGCTTGAGCTCGAGCTGCACCACCCTGAACCTGCTCCACCATGCTTGGGTCTGGGATTGCTTCACCCCTCCTGGCCTCTCCTGTTAAAAGAGGAAGGGGGAAAACATCCCACTCTGTTTTCCTGCACAGCTCTTGTTCCAGCACCCCAGGGAAGGGAGGGCATGGCTTTGGGATGCTCCTCAGCTGAGGTCTCTGTGAACAAGGCACCTGGCTGTTTCCACAGCACGCGGTGATGGTTTTGACAAATTAGCAGAGTTCAATTATGTACCTTGGATTGGTGTCAGCCCCGTGTGTGCGTGTGCCGGGCTGGCTGGCGGAGCCTTCTGAGGGCTGTTAGAGAAATGAGAAGC